AGACACAGAGGTGACTTGCTCAGGATCACACCAAACATCTCTTACATCAGCATTTGAATACAAGTCCTAACCTTAACTCCTCACCACTGAGCAATTCAAGATAGTTCAAGATCACTTTTAGATAGCTACATGTTAATCCCTGCTTAAAAGGCAATGTTCTATACTGGGTCTTTACTCTTTGACTTTCAGTCTTAAAGCATCATGACTGCTCATTGGAGTGCTTTAAATATATAGAATTAACTTTTTTTAAAAATCAAACACTGCAAAAATAACCCCCATCACCACCAGCGCCTTCAGCACCCTCTGAGAAAACTATTGATAGGAGTTTTACTTATATACATACACGCATAAATATGTTTATCTGGTTAAGCACATTTTTTAAATGGATCACACTGATTTAGTAACTAGCCTTATTTCACTTAATTTATCTTGAAGATCTTCCTGCACCTACAAAGACATTTACCTCTTTTTGTATAGGTTACCATCATTTATTCCTACTCAGTTGAGGTCCCCCTTATGGCTTACTATTAAAAAAACAGTCACAAGAAATATGATGTGCCTTTGTGTAGCTGTGAAGCCATATCTGTTAAAAAAAAAAATTCCTAGAAGTAAAATTCTGGGTCAACGGGTATAAACGTTTACAATCTTACTAGATTTTGCCAAATGCCCTCCAACATGTCTGTGCCCAATTTACATTCTCACTAATACCACATGAGAGTTCCTCCAGCAACTGAGTTTTCGGGTGCCTTAGAAAATTACACTTAACGTTGCTTCAAAATGCCAAGTAATAAAACTGTTTTCACTGGTCATCTTAATTCCATACAGAACTCTACACAAATCTTATAACACTCACTGAGTGTATCAGTATAGTTTTCCATCTTTATTTTTCCTTACACCTTTTAAATACCTCAAAAGAGAAAATACACCAGGTGCATACAATATCTGCAACTAGTAAACCCTCCAATTTTAGATATCCTGATAAAAAGTGATTCAAATTATTTCAGAACACAAATCAGAACGACACAGTAAAGCTGGGTCAAACACTTAAATCAAAGAAAAGTTATAAATGTGGATTTATTATGCATTATCTGCCCACTCAAAGGACTAAGGCTACAAATAAAAAGCTATCAATTCATACCACTGGCCAAATTAGCTTACATAAAATAATAAGCAACAGATTTCATATCATAAATGTCAGTGGAACAGATTGTAATAGTAAGGATGGCTGTAATTGAAAAGAAAGTTCATTCAAATTCACATCATACTGAAAATGAAAACATTAATATTTTAAATGAAATGTTTTGAATGTGACTATTCATTTTAGTCATATCAGACTATTATAAATCTTTGGTACTAACAAGATATGGTCTTTTTATCAAGTAGATGGTTTTAAAATGCATTATACTCTGACCTGCCTATTCTTGATACTCCAGGTTTCATCATTTCATCAAAATCAATCTCTCTCTCTCTCTCTCTCTCTCTCTCTCTCGACTTTTTGTTAGTAGTTTTAAAATTCAAAGTCTCCAATACATCTTTGGGACAGAGTAAAACCTCATTAAATCAAGTCCAATTAGCTCAATTCTGAAATGGCATATGTAATTCTCACTGGGCAACAAGCTGATGGTACTATAATTTCCTCCTCTACAAGTTCTCATAATATTACTGTGAAATAAAGAAAATCAACCTGAAAATTAATTCACTTTTTTAAACCAAAGATTTATAAAACTAAGGACTCATCCATCTTCGTGGCTAAGGGCTTCATCCTCAGTGCTAGGTCCACTTGTGTTTATCTGCTACCATATATAGTGAAAGTGACTTAACTTATTAATAGCCATTCAGAGTTTAAAATATGTGCATTCCCTTTAAGTATTTTGTGACTCAGATTTTTCACAAAGCCATTTTTGTTGTTTCTCCCATTTTCGATCCTAACACTTATAGGTCTATAATATCGCAAATATAGCACCGTAAGAGGTATAGAAGTCGACTTAGAAATGCCTGGCATTCTTATTCTGTGCCTATTCTTATCAGTTTGAAAAACATTATAGGCCAAAAAATGAGTCCCAGGATTAAGTGGCGTGTTTGGTGTTAAATGAATTTACAACTATTCCCAATGAACGGGGAAACCTTCCCTCGCAATCTGAATCATGTGTAATTACAGTATGACAAGGTCTCTCCTGGGCTATGTAAGCTGGCACTTTTCCCAGGACTTGTCACATCATGGGAAGCACACATACAAATAAAAATCCAAAAATAAACATTTTAAAACAATGGCTTATAGACTACGTAAAGAAACTCCACAGTTGAGAATGAAAATCGAAGGGCCCAACGGACAAGCTGACATCTCACCAGAGACATCTGGGAAGACATGGTATCATCAAGTGGCTTACCACCCCTAGCAACAACTCCCAGGTGTGGGCTGTGTGGGCAGCACCCTCACATGCCCCCAGGCTGGACAGAAAACCATTAGGTATGGGGAATAAAGGGGCACATCACCACACACACCCACTGCAGCAGAGAATGGTGGTGAAGTATGGGAAGGTTGAGCATCTCTAATTGCATAATGCCAATTTGTAGATGGTTAAGGCACCTCAACAAAGTTATCTTAAGAGCTACACATCCTCTACCAGCTGACTTAGTTTCCCTGATTCAATAAACATGGTTGGGTTTTTTTTGTTAAGTATTATTTCACGTTGAAGTGAATAGCAGCCAAACAGTCATAATAGTGTGTACCAGGGATCTTAGAAGATGGTTTCTTTTGTTTAAATTCCTCTGCAGTGGCTCTATGGGCACATGGAAAAGGGAGAGGGAGATTCCAAGAGGCATCATACTCAATCTCTTAGAGTGACAGAAACTTGACAATACTCATCCTTATCACAGTTTTGAGGAAATGTGAATATAATATCCCTGGCTCTATTTTGATAGAAAATGCTAGCAAAATCTAAATGTCTTTCC